CCCTGGACAGCCCTGGTTTGCATCTCCTCCCGGCATCTTTATTCATAGCGTCTCCTGGTGCTTGCATAAGTATCCCGGCTTGGTCTATAACTTAATGATAGCCAGGTTCTGGAGGCAGACTGTTTGGGTTTGGATCATGACTTTCATTTCCCCAAACTGGGTGACCTTGGAACCTCTCTGGGGTTCAGTTTCTTCCCTCAGAATTTCGGGGTAACGCCTTCTTGTTCTCCTACCACGGCAGATTAGAGTGAACGAAGTAGAGGGCTGTGATGAATGCCTCCCACCCAGCAACTCTCAGCATGGCAGTTATTGTTGACACGGACTCTTGATCCTGTGAACAACCCCAAGAAGACTCAACGTGATCGTCACAGGAAGTAACTTGGAAACGAGAGACCCTGAGGACTGAGGGCCGGTTCTAAGGAGAAAGGGAACATGGTAGGAGCTCAGGGTTGAGTCTACCATGGGTCTCAGTGGCTCCCTAGCATCAGCATTACCTGGAGTTGGCAGGAAGTGCAGGTCCCCAGGCTGGGCCTCAGGCAGTGTGAGGCAGAGACCTCAGCCGATGACCAGTTCCTGGCTGAATGTGCTGTTTGGATATGGTTACTGGGGGTCTGTTCTTATCCCTGGCTCCTCTCTCCCTCTGTCTCCCTTTCTCTGTCTCTCTCTCTCTCTCTCTCTCTCTCTCCCCTTCCCGGCTGCTATGGGTTGAGCAGTTCTCCTCCATCACACCTTCTGCCATGTCATTTTTGCCTTGGAGCCAGGTTAACATGGACTGAACCCTCTGAAACCCACAAACCAAAAATACATGAGCCAAAACCTTTTTCTCCTTTAAATTACAGGTGTCAGGTATTCTGTCCTAGTGTCAGGAGGGCTGACAAACACAAGAGGCATCAGCCACCAAGCTCCAGCCAGCAATAGAAAAACTTGGTCCACCAGGGAAGATCAAGCCTGCCATGTTCCAGAACCCTCCAACTGAAAGCAACCCTACAGAGTTCTCATCTGGGGGTTATAAATATCAACTCAGCAACCTGAATGTGTCCAAAATATGTATTTTGTTTGCCCTGTTAAAAAGAAATTAGCCATAAATAAAGTGATCGCTCCAACATAAAAACCCTGATCTCTAGTTTCCTTTAAAACTTCAGAAGGACTGGCATCTTCAGGTGGCATTGCTACCAAACCAGGTGGCAAGGTGGAGCTGCTGCCCACTTAATTGTGGTGTGCAGCCTCTAGCTTCCTCTAGCCTCTAGCTTCTTGTGCATACCTGACCTGTCCTCCCCTGTTTCTGTTTATGACTTGAATGCTTTCTTCTGCCTGCTGAGGAGGAAGCCTAGAACTGGAGAGTGTCCTGACTTGCATAAGGGACATGGCCTCAGCTCTTAGGTAGGGGAAGGGAACTCTCACATCTTTTGAGGAGGGTCTCGAAGGAGAAAGAATGTGAGAAGCCTGAGAGCTGGTCTTGCTAAAGTTCTTGAATTTTCCTGGGCTTCTCATCTCATCTGGATCAAGGATTACAAACACAGCTTCCCAGAGTTGCTCCTGCCTCTCATTTCCAGTCTGGCTTATGGGTCAGCCACTGGGCCCAGGAGTCTGCATGTAGAAAAATCCCCCTTTCCTTCTCTACTTTGCCATGCCCACCTCCACGATTCTGAAGAGATGGTCCAGGGAACACACTTCGAGAAACACCGGGCTATTTGGAAATCCTCCCAGGTGGGATGGGTCACTCCGATGGGCTGGGGAGAAAGGGAAGCAGAGGAGGGGACCCCACTGCAGGCCGTGAGCAGAGAGGAGAGCCGGGGGTGAAGTTGGCTAAAGAGATGAAAGTGTGGTAGAGCCTCGAGAAGTTGACTCACAATGGCCATAACATGCTAATCTCCTAGTCAGGTAACCTACCTTTGGGAGAAAGTAGAGGATGAGGGTAGCAGAAAAAAGATTGCAGGTGAGATTTCCTGGGGAGAGCAGGCAGCACATCACTGGAGCAGAAGGGAAAGGCCAAAGACTGCTTGTCTGTCCGATGCCCCGTGTAAGGGTTAAGGTGAGTATTAAGCAAGTGCCCTCACAAGACACTAGGATCACCCTTCAGTATAAAAACTATGCCTCCAGGGAGAAGGGTGGCCCCTGGTCTGAGGCCCTAACCTCTACCATTGTGTAACTTCCATTGGCTTTCCCACCTCTGCTCTTTTCCATCCATTTAGTTGTGTTTTTGTGTCTTCCTCCTTGCTTCACTGCCTCTTTTGCTCTCTGTCTCTCCCTCTTTTCTCCTCTCTCTATCCCTTCCTCTCTCCCAGCAGCCTCCTATATGTAGCTCCCAGACTACACAAATAGTCACCGTATCAAAAAACATTCAGGAGAAAAACATCCATCACCACGCGAAGAGAATCCTGAGGATGAAACTAAACCCCTGAACAGAGTTTCTAAAGTAATAAGTCCTTGTCAGCCTCCACCCAGCCCGGGCCCTTCAGTCGAGAGGGCAGAGGCATTTTTCTCCCCTTCCAAAGGCCTGAACAATGTCCCCTGGAGTTCCTCTGTTCCCACTGGGGTTTCTCCTTTGACCACTGCTATCAGATAGGCTTTCTTGTGTCACTTGAGCACACTGCCTGACACATTTCTCTGGGTAGTAACAGCCAATGAATGATATGGTTTGGCATCCTCGGGTAATACACATGCTCCATATGGAGCAGAGTAAGCCTTTGGAGTCCATAGCTGTTTGAGCAACCTCAGGTCACCTCCTGTGTTCATGGGTCTGTAAATATCATAGCTGTGATCACTGTGTGGAATTAGTAATATTCCAGAGGACCTCACTGACCCCATGTACCCCCTACAGAGCAGCCTCGGGTAACAACAGCTTAGCATTGGGCCTCATCCACTTGGAACTGGTGACTGGCAGCAGTAGAAGGCCCACACTGTAGAATGTCTTACCTTCAGCTGGCTCTGCAGCTTGGACCCCAAGGACATCACAGGATTTAGTCCATTCAAAACCCATTTATGGTGGTCATCATACATGCTGAGCCCTGTGTGTAATGAAGAGATGACAAGACCCAATCCCTGCTCTGCAGAAAGTGGTCTTTGGTTAAAGGAGAAGGACATGCAAATAAGGGCCTTGTATGTTAACATATTTCAGGTAAGGCCATTGGTGGATTTAGAGAGAGGCTGTCCATTTTGTTGACCAGGAAGTACAGTGTGACCCTTCACTTGGCAGCAGTGCTTTGGAGTTTGCTAGAAATCAGAATCCCAGACCTCCCCTCAGATTAAATCAGATTAAAGTTTGGGATGCTCCCATCTGAACCAGGGCTTCCCAAACCTGGATAGATTTTTTTAAAAATCACCTGGTGCCCCCATTTTTTAAGTACTAGGAGAATTTTTCTTTCTGCCTCCCATCCTTGAAATTTACCCTTAGAAATCCTGGTCTGTTAGGTCAGATGCCAGGCTAGAGACTGACAACTGACCTGTGCCTGGCATTTGGGAATCAGCCTCTATGTCTTCGGTTCTCCAACTTGGCTGAACATTGGAAGCACCCGAAGAGTTTGCAAAACTTTCCATATCCAGACTCTGCACTGAGCCATTAAATCTGAACTTGTGGGGGTGGAGCAGAGGCATCGGTACTTGTAAGACTCCTCCAAAGGACTAACATGCAGCAAAGGTGTGAAACCACCTCTCCAAACCATCGCTGCCCAAATTTCGACTATGTAAGAATCACTGACACAGGGTGCAACCCGTGCCTAGGAGATGCTGGTTCTGCAGGCTAAGACCCCAGTTTGAGTAGCAGTGCTCTAAGGAATCCTTCAAGGTCAGCAGAACCCTGGTAATTCCTAATTGAAAAGGAAGTAGAGCAATGGCTAAAACCCAACCTTACAAGCCCTAACCGAGATATTCTCCTCCAGAAAAACTTGTCAGCCACTCTTGTGGACTAACTGCATCCTTGGAATGAGCAAATTGGAGAAGTGCAGATTCATACTTCCTTGGTCTGAGTCCTGGTCTAAGCCTGACTCAAGTCCCAGTGGTTCATGCTGTTTTATTTCCCAGGGCCAAAACCCCTCCACGTATGCCCTGTGCAGAGTCTCACCTCTTCCGAGAAGCCACACTGGGCTCAGTACTTACTAGCTTTCTCTCATTTTCTCAAATACATGCTCTTTCTTCCACCCCAGGGGCTTTTGTAAGCTGTCCCTTTGCCAGAAATGCTCTCTTCTTTCTCCAAGTTCTTCTTCAAGAGAGACTTCCCTGTTGCCCCCCATGAGATTAGATTCCTCTCTTGTACACTGGCCTTGCACCTAGTACCTCTGCTCTTCTCACCACACCAGGCACAGTTTTAAATCATGAATCACATTAGTATTTGAATTCATCAAACAAACCAATCAAGACAGAAACCACCTCTGTTTTGCCACCACAAACAGTGAATGCCACCAGTGAATGTGAGTAAGGGTGAGCCACTCCTTCCAGGCATGGGGAGTTCTGGGCCTCTCCTACATTCTCTGCATCACACCTAGGATGGTCACCCATTCGTGTTCCACAGGGCCGTGTTCATTCCATTGGCCCAGATAGCTTAGCTCCTGCTGAGGCTTCTGGGCATGGGCCACCTCTTCTCACATTGCATCCACTCCCAAATTCTAGACCCTGCCTGTCTATCTGAGGCTCTGCTTCCATCCAGGAGTGGATATTACCACCCTTCCCACCCCAAGGTGGCTGAGCCTCCACAGACCCTTCTTGGTGGTGCTGCTCCATCCGGCACTGACCTGGAGAATCGCCAATTAGTGGGGCTTCATACACTTTCACCAGGGAATACTCCTGTCATGCTCAGGCATGCAGCAGAAGGGAGGATGAAAGATTATCTACGCCCACAGTGCACTGCCCAGATATCAGTCACCAGTAATAACTTCAGAACTCCCCACAACATGTATCAGTGCTGCCATTTTGTTTCTTAGAAGATGGAAAGTGGGTTTGATAAAATTGGAAACGAGCTCATTTCACTTGTTATGACAGCGATAAAGAGCAATAGTACATCCTAGTACAAGAGTAGGAGTAACATTTATTTCCATTTCCAGCAAATGCGTGACACAGCCAAAGATTTCAAGTCCTTGGCAACAGTTCCATGCCCTACCTGTGCTCTGGCTGTAGGATGAATGCAGTGAGCTCGAGTCTCTAAGTGGAAAGTGCACAAGTCTGGAAATGGTGCACTCAGAGACTCTTGCCTCTCCGTTCATTACTTTCTTTTTAAGTGGATTCGGTCAAACAAGTCAGGAGCAAGCCTTTGCTGTGGAAGCCGTTGCCATTCAGGCACAGAAAGTCCAAGAGGTTCAGCCGTTCTGCCTGTGGCTGCAGGATGTCAAGGCTGAGTTCCAGGAGGTACATTGTGGGGTGGGGGAAGGGAATCTAGGGTGGTTTCACTCCCACCAGGGAAGGTACGGGTGGGCAGAGCAGAGAGAGGAGCAGCTCCTCTCTTCTTCCACTCAACATGCCTCACTGAGCATGCTTCGGTGACCTCAGCTCTCCACCTTGGGAAGGGAGGTGGTAACAGAGTCAGTCAGAGCAAGTGTGGATTCTGCCAATACACACCCCAGCCAGACACAGGTGAGCGAGCAGTGAGTGCTAATTACCAGGGCGAGCAGGGTTCCCATGGTGTTGTCGCCATGGGACACAGGGAGAGCACAGGAAATGACGATGGCTCCTGATGGGATGGGAGGAGTGGCAGGTGCTGAAGGGGGCACCTGGCTCCCACATCCTGGAGGAAAGGGACTCTGAGGTTTAAGCTGAAGCCCTGATGGGGAGTAGTAGTGAGGTGACTCCGGTGAGCAGGGGCCAAGGGGAAAGGGAGAGGCTCCTGACAGACAGGAGCGCGGCCATTCATTCCTCCTCACGATCACAGCCCATTTCCTTCTGCACCCTGGAGTCCTCTATCTCTACAATACACTGGCATGTCAGCTTCTGCAAGTCTGCTTCAGTCCCAGCTAACCACTGCACCCGGATTGTTCCGGTACAGGAGGGCTCAGTGGTAATAATTTTGTAAGGATTGCAGTGCTTTAAAGTGCGTAGGAATCACCTGGTCGCCTTGTTGAGGATGGACTCTGATTCCACCATCCCAGAGCGGGACGGGACCTGAGCCTGAAGACAGCACACTCCTAACAAGTCGTCAGGTGACGTCAGCTGCTGGACCTCAGCCTGGACTATGACTAGCAAGGACTTGCGTTAGAGTTCTTATAACATCTCCAAGTTTAAATAATGTTTGTCAATTATATAAAAGTCACTGAGAAAACTCCTAGTGAGTGCTGGAAATATAAAAGCAGTAGAACATGCCATGCGTGCCCCTGTTTTCAGGGTATGCTGTATCATACAGTGGCCACTTGCTAGGAAGGGGGCTACGAGGTATGCAGCTTTATGAGAAACTATGTCTGGGCCTTGGTTCTAATTAGGAAAGTAGAAAACAGCTACCCATGGAGTACCTTGAAAGCCATGAGGATGAAGAGGCTATAAATGAGCCACACAGCATAGCAGAGCAGAGTTACTGGAAGATTTGTGGCTGGTTTCAGGCTCCTTGACTTTAAAACCTTCTACCATTTTCTGTGAAATATCCTGGAATTAAGTAATCAACCTCCCTAGGCTCCAGTTTCCTGATTTATGGAATAAGGAGAATGTCCTGTTTCCTTGAGTTGTGAAAATTAAATGAAAAAACAAAAGTTTACGTGGAGCCGAGCATGGTGTGTGTGTTGCACAAAGTGATCAGTCAGGGCTGGCTGTGACTTCCGGGCTTGTTGGAGGGGTGGATTTGCATTGTGTTAGGTCAGGTAGTGGTGTGGACTCACGTGGCTTTTAGGAGCCTGTGTTGGCACAGTCTTTGTCACACCGTGGAAGACACTAAACGGGATGTCCACAGCTTCTTCAGGGAGCAGCAAGAGTGGTGGCATAAGTGTGTTGGGAATATTTCAAAGGGGGCTAACAGCAATGTATCTTTCACTGTAATAAGTTGTTTAGATTTAAACATGTACTGTATATTTTGATCCCACCTCATATATACCATCCGGCCATTTGTAGAAAAGATTTGCTGATCTTTGACTTAGATGACAGCGAGAAAACAAAAGAATGTCTGACAGGCTCCTGAAAGCATTGCGCTGGGTCCTCATTCATTTCATTCACTGAGTCTGGCACTGTGAGACTTCTGACTTTTCCCCAAATTCAAAATGACCACGAAAGGTGAGTGGCTTGAATCAGTTCAAGACATCGAGGCAGCCACAACAGTGTGACTGAAGGCATTCACCAAAGGACCTATAGAACTGCTTCAGAAAGAGGCAAGAATCACCGGGCAAGTGTGTTGAAAATTAGGAGGAATATTTTCAGAGAGCTTAACAGCAATGTGTCCTTAATGTAGTAAAAATTTAAAAAATTTAAACACCTTCCTGTAAATCACATCTCATATTTTCAGTGTTGTGTGCCATAAAGTTTATCACTACTCAACTCTGGTAGTGCAAAAACCAGAGTGGACAATCTAAAATTGTTGGTGTGTCTGTGTTCCAATAAAAATTAATTTATAAGCAAGCAGTTTGTGGCCCACCTTTCTCAATCCTAAAGCCCATTTTCACTGGAAACTGAGTTACTCAGCTTTCTATCACTATAACACCATATCCGAGATGAGCGATTTAAAAATAAGAAAGTTTTTACTTGGGCTCACAGTTCTGCAGGTTTGAGTCCATGGTCAGTTGCCCTCATTGCTTTGGAGGTCGTGAGGAGGAAGGGGTATATGGTGACACTATTCACATGAAAAAGAGGAAGGGACTGGGGCTCCACCATCTCCTTCAAGACCATGCCCCCTGTGACCTATAGCCTCTGTTAGGCTCCGCCTTTGAAAGGTCCCACACCCCCCAACAGAGATGTACTGCAATGGACTGGTGCTGGGGGCTACGCCTTACCACACAAACCTGTAAGGATTTTCCAGATCCAAACTCTAGCACACAAATTCCAGAGGGAAACCATCTCACTGCCTCCTTGGATTTATTATTTTCATTTAGCCATGAAATGCTTGTTTGTGTAGAATCTAGAAGATGCCTTATCTAGGAAGCAGTGTGTCTATCATTATTTTTAATGCTGCTTTCTGTAATACTTAAGGCTCTTTCCTACAATGACCAGAAAAACTGCAGAAGAAAAATCTCCAAATACCATTTTAAAAATTCATTATTTTTGGAAACTTAAAGAAGGAAGCCAGAGAGAGAGAGAGAGAGAGAGAGAGAGAGAGAGAGCACTTACCCTGACGGGCTCCAGAGCACTGTGACTCAGAATGTGAATTCTTGGGGGACCACCCAGGGCCAGGTCCTGGCTCCATGCTTCACTAGCTTGTGACCCTGAGTGAGCTCTTAATCATTCATTGCTTACTTCATCTATAAAATGGGGACATTTATAGTACTTGTTTTATAAGGTTATAGTGAAAATGAACTCATATGACCAGTACAATATGACTAGAACAGAGTATACAACAAGCACTCAACAAATAGTTATTGCTTTTGCTTTTCTTTCCTTCTGCCTGTGAAAAGCAAATTTACCTTGTGCTTGCTTTTTTTTATTCTTCCAGGAAATATGCTCTGCAGATCAAGAAGGCCTTCTCAGCAGGCTACAATCTGATTAGCTGCAGCATGGATGTCTTGGAAGTACCCCAGAAAGTCAAGCTGGTCCTCAAGCAGACGAAAGCAATGCTGAGGCCACTCTGCTTTGACCTTCAGCAAAGCCCTTAAGCTCCAGCTACATATCTCAGGGTAGTTTTCATCTGTACGGAGATTTTTTCTGAGGCAGTTAAATCCAATATTCGAAGGTCTACAAGCATGTTAGCACAAGCCCGTTTAGATGCCACTCACCAAGCTTCAACAAGAGTATTTGATGGATCTTCTGGCAGGGCCTTTTCTTGTTCTTTGCTGATTCCAATTTGTTCCTAGTCTGTCATTTCTTCTGAGATGCCTTCGTGGCTGGAGACAGGGTCTTCCACATTTGTTCATTTGATGTGTTATTAACTAAAGGCCCAGAAATCTTCTATTCAGTACTCTTTCCAGCTTTCCATTAATCACTATGTTTTCAGACTCAAGCCAGATCAGAACATCAAATAGAGAGAGGGTCTTGTCCAAGAGGCTATGAGAGAGCATCCCAGCTTTGCTGGACAGAGAGCTCTTTGATCAAGTATAATGTCAGAAAGGGTTTGAAAACTCTGAAGCAAGCAAAAACAGTGATACATAAAGGGTCTTGTCTGTATCTGGGATACTACTGTCCAGTAGGCTGTTCCACAGGAATAGAAATTGTCTGTCTGTGCAGCCCGATACAGTAGCCGCAGCTCCACGAGATTACCAAGTACTTGAAATGTGCCTGTATGATGGAGAAACTGAAGACTTGATTTAGTTTATTTAAGTTTGATGTAATTAGCCTGATGTGGCTATTGGCCATAGTGAAGCCCATGGGTTATGTAATTCAGAACTTTGTCAGAGCAAGTGGCATATACCTACTTCCTTTAAGCAGAGGGGAAGAAATCTCAGAAAAATTCAAAAATTTTGAATTTTTGAATTCAGAGCTAGCAAGTGGCCCATGGTCAGGCAGGGATTTATACTCTGTATTCTCTGATCCCTTACCTAGGCTCTCTCTTCCAAATCGTAGCACTGTGCTGTAGTGTTATAATACTACATTATTCTTTTGAAATTGATCCTAACATCAATTAAATATTTTTATACTCAGGTAGAATTGCTCTATCCCATCTCTCCAGGGAACAAAGTCTGGCTGACATCACTTTTGCCAGGGAGAATTCGCCATTGTCTATAGATAAGCTGGCACTCCCTCCCCTCTGAAGATACTGCAGAGTAGCTACACCCTGATTGCTCCATCCTCCCCATGAGAAAATGGACAGTGACCTCAGAAGAACTATCAGATATCGCAGCAAGCTGGTAGTTGAGGGCAGCAGCTTGTTTCTTTCAGCCAACTTATAATAAATGGATTTCCCAACACATGTTTATAGATGTGCTCTCCTGAGCTCCACACACAGAGAATCATTCTCCTTTTGAACAGCTTGCCTGGTTACATCTTGTAGTAATTTATCTGCATGCTCTCTGCCAACTGGTTTGTAGGGAAAACATGTTTGATGCATAACAATAGATCATTTGGGGATAAATCAAGCCTTTAATGAAGTCCTGCTTCTCTTAAGCCAGGCATTCCGCTCCGAAGAGTCTCTCTTGGGTTCTAGGAAGCTGAAGAAGGGGAGCTTGGGTCCCCCAACCTACAAGACAAGTAGATGCACAGAAAGCTGATTTTCTCCAAGTTGAGGCTAATGACACAGCATCCCTGGGGTCTCTCCCCGCGGAGTCCAGCAGAAACCACTGAAGCTGGATTGAAGCCTGGAGACTGTTCAGATTAGGCCTATGTTTGGAAGAAATGAGAGTCTATTTGCCCAAAGCCTCACACTTTCCTTGGAGGGGAGCCAAGGCCGCCCACACACCCTTGTCTTTCCCAGTTCCTGTAGAGAAAAAGAAAGTTCCAAGAAGATAGGAAGTAAAAAGAACGAAGGGAAGGGGAATAAAGAGGAGAGAAGAGGAGGCTGAGCCAAAAATCTGAACAGAAAAAGGAAAGAGAAAAGAAGAAATCCTGGGGAGATAGCAAGAAGGATGGGAGAAAAAGAGAAAACCAATCCCAAGTTTCCATTTAAAGATGAACATGGGCTCGCACATCCATCATCCCGGCACTCTGGAAGCCAGGAGGCCTTGAGTTTGGGCCCAGCCTATGCAACCTGGTGACTTAGCAAAACCTGTCTCAAACAAAATTTTAAAAAGTTATTCTGTGCAATGGCCCTGAGTTCAATCTCTAGTACTGCAAAACAAAAAAGTTTCCACTTACAGCCATGTGGATCACAAACAGGTCCTTAGCAAGCTCTGGCTGAGGGCCAGCGTGCCGGACACAAGGAGGCGTTGACACAGACTCGGGGCTCGAGAAGCAGAGATCAAGTCCCACAGAGCCCTGACAGCTAGGGTTCTCCAGGTATCTGAAGTGGGGTGGGGGAGCTGGACAGCGGGGCAGGGGCACCACGAGAGTCAGAATAACTGGTGCAAATGTTTAATCGCATCAGGCTGTCCCCGTGTGAGGACCTGCATGGCCCATGGACATTCTTAAGGCCAAGGAAAACACGCCTTGAGCTTTGAGTGCGAACTCCTGAACTCCCCCTGGGCCCTGCAGGCCTGGTATATGCTGATCGCTGAGTTGGGGGTGCATTTAAAGCTGCATACTATGACTGTTTTCTAAAGAAAAGAATGAAGTGTGCTAGTGCTTGTCTTTACTGAATGAGGAGCTCTTTCATCAAGTCTACCCTTTTCCCCAGTCTTCTCTGGCTTCTTCTGCCTCCAGGACCAAATCCAAACCCTTTGGCCTGAAATCCAAGGCCTTGTGCGGACACTCCAGACCGCCTCACCCACATGCTTTTCCACCGCTCTCCACTATGAACTGCTCATCCGGAGGCTGGCTGCTCCCACCCTGGCCTCCTTTACCTGGGTGGCTCCTGCTGTCTCTTACCCTCTTCCAGATACTGGGTTAAAACAAAACAAAACAACAACAAGCAAAACACTCTTGAAAGCCAAGCTTCTTGGGAAGAATCTCAAATCCATGGTGACCTCTCCCTCTCGGAGCCTTGAAGATTCCCAGCGACAGTGCTACTAGGGGGGAGGGGGGACTCAGTGTCATCGAGTGAAGCCCCCAGGTCCCTCTGGAGGGGATTATCCTCCCTGTCCTCAGTGCTGCTGATTCCCTGGTGTCCTTTGTCCGTCTCCTCCCTTCATGTCCATCAACGCTCTCCCACTGTCACTATCTCCTCCCACTCCTTCCTGATCTATCATCGTCCCTTCTCATTTGCTCCAAAGCTGGGTTACCAAGCTACCCCCTGCCCCGGTAAGAGAATCATCTCTTCCTCTTTTCTCTTAAGGACTCTGCGGATCTGCAAGTGTTTACTAGAGTGTTTGTTGCCTTCTGTTAACGCTGCAGTAATTCATGGGCATTTCTGTATTTACATTAGATTGCAAGCTCCTCGAGGGGTAGACATCTTCATTCCCTTCTCAGTTCCTATCATGATGAATTGTCTCATGGACAATACTTGATAAATGCTTATGAATTGCATTTCATGGTTCTTGTATTTCTCTACTTTGCCTTTGCTGGGCAAATGGGCCGAATGAGGCTTGGAGGGCCTATTTCAAGAGAAATGGGAAACATCCGGACCACTTAGGGGCCGGGTCTTCCCTCCTTTGACACAGGCGTCATTCTCGGATGGCTCTTCTACCGTGGCTTTTCCCTTAAGGAAATTGACAGTGCCTTTCTTAAGAGGAAAGGTAGATGTAGGATGACTGCAGCTAGTTTCCCCTACCTCATGGATGTCCAAGGACTGAAGACCAATCCATTGGGCTTCAGCAGAACTGGAATTGAGGATGGAATCAAGAGGACAGGGCTACGGTCTCAGCCTTCCAGGAAGATTTGCTGTCTTATTGCTGCCTATGCTGGCACAGGAGCCCCATACTCCTCCTCCCATGCGCTCTTTCCACCTCAGCTTGACTCACATAGAGCTTTGGCCTGCTGGGGTCCTAAGTGCATTTCACAGTTGCTACAACCCTCTCCCTCATTACCTGGAAACTGTTGCTCAGTTTCATAATCCCACAATGCTGAACAAAGAATGTGTTCCCCTTCCTCGCTTTTTCTTGCCCGGCCAGAAGCCTTTGGCAAGCTCAGCAGAGGTCACCTTAGAATCAGGTGCCTTTCCTGGTGAAGTCGGCCCACTGAAGCCTGGAGGGGGAGTGTGAGAAGCAGCATCCTAGAAACTGTGGCTGCCCAAGACTGTGCCATCAGCACAGCCTAAGGGTCAGTACAATTCCCCTTCTATGCAATGTGTTTATGAAGACAGAGACTTCCATAACAGGGTGGAAAATATGAAGTTCCTAGAGGGTCCAGAGTTAAGCAGTTCAGTTGTAAGGCAATGGGAAATGGTGGCCCTAGCAAACTGCTAATGCAAGAAGATGCTGCCAGATCTTCCTGTTTTTAAGCAGAAGAAGTATAGATTTTAGTGTGAAGTCTCTGAGTTTTAAAACATTGTGCAAGCCAAACCAAAGCTATCTGTGGGTCATATCAGGCCTGTGGACTCTCAGTTTTCAGGCCCTGCTTTAAAAATTGATGTACAGGAGTAAATCTACTAAAAGCAAGACAGAAGTGAAATACGAACAACCAACACAGTACTGTAATTCATTTGCTATCACTATAGTTATTTGCACACTAAGCCCTTATTAGGTATTATTGACTGACTTATTACAATAAGTTACTTGCTTGGGATTGTTTTGAAATTAGCGTCTGCATCTGCATCATTTCAGAACTCCCTCAGCTCCTTACTGAAGCTCACATGATACCATCTCTTCTCTATTAGCAGAGGACAAGGCTTGGGGGGGGTAGTTTGAGACTTCATAAAAGGTCACTTTGGGGAGATGATCCTTTGTTAATGACCTTCTCAGGTTTCTCAAAGACCACCCAGGCCTTTGGCTTGGAGATGAAGCCAGGACTTCAAGTGCCAGCAGGGTAATCAGGAAAAACCAAACCTCCTGCCTTGGGAATCATAGAACACATATTCTGCAAGGCTGGTGGCCGAAGCCAGAACAAATCACCATGTATACATTGGTGGGGAGGCAGCAGAGAGACGGAGGGGGAACGTGTGCTCACCGACTCATGGTGTCTGTCACAGGATCGATCATGCCTGATTGAGAAATCTCCATGACGTGCAGTGGTTAGGCAGGCTTCCAGACTCTGTGAGTCCTGGCTGTGCTTCCCAATTAAGAGTAAGACTACTCCACAGGGTTGCATGATGCTTCAGCGTCTCTCCAAGAGGGGTATGGATATGGCCAAGGGCTATCTCCTACAGAAGTGCAAAGAACCAGAGTCATATCCATTTACTAAACATTATTTTTGCACCATATGATTGGGGAAAAGGCAATCCCCAGGAGCCAGCCATCTCCCGGGGATGAGTCAAGACATGAAGCCAGTGTGAATGTAGCTTAGAAATACCAGTGACTATGGTATGTTCTCTTCCTTTTAGGTCTCTCTCTCTCTCTCTCCAAATCTATACTAGTAGTCAGGGTCTTCTAGAAGAACAGAATGAATAGACTATATATGTAATTATAATAGGGGATTTATTAGATTGGCTTATAAGATCAGAAACAGGATAGTCCACTCACTGTGCTGTCTGCAAACCAGAAGACCAGAGAAAGAAAACAATAGCTTCTCAGCCTAAGGAGCTGGAAGCCTCAGAGTAAGAGGGCTGAAGAAGCGGCCAAAGTGACTACACTAATACATACCATAGTGTGAGCGTTCTTACTGTTTTGCATTTTCACTGTAGCCATTCTAATGTGTTTTTGTATAGCATTTGGGAGAATGGCCAATTTTTTTTATCATAGTATGCAAACTTCAGATTGCACGTGGCTTTGACGGCACCCAGGTATAGAACCAATACTCCAAAGTTCTGTTATTGTAACATTTTAATGATCTATATAGAACATGTTTACATAGCATTTCAGATCAAATTCAGTAGTCCTGGAAGTGACTCTGACAAAATGCAGGACCAAGCTTCATGGTCCACACAGCCTACCCCACCCCCACTGTTCTTCCTGCTGGCTTTCAACCAAAACCTCTCTGTCTACAAGGCTGATTCTCCATCCATCCTCCTCCACATCCTGTACAACTGACCCTGCCAAGCTTGGTTACACTACCTCTCATTTACTGCCTGCTCTTTCCAATTTCTACAGTACTTCCAGGGTTTTCCAAACATCTCTGCTGTTGAGGCATCTGAGGTACTTGTATGATTACATATTTCCAGGCTCCCTCCTATGAGAAAATCTGGAGAATCCGTGTTATGGTTGATTCCTCCAAGAGCCTCAGGTACTCAGAGGCAGGGATTTTGGAAGGTGATTGGATTATGGGTGCTTATAGGTGACTTGGAAGAGGCGGGTCACAAAGGGAATGACCCGGAAGGTCTTATCTTTGCTTCCTAGCTGCCATGACAGGAGTAGATTTCCTTGTCTGGGCTCTCTCATTTCCTGCTTTAGAGCCAGCCTACCATGGACTGAAGATGTCAGCCAAAATAAACCTCCTGTCCTTTAAATTGCGAGTTTGGGTATTGTGCCCAAGTGAGGAGAAAGTGACTAAGACAAGCTGCGTAGTTTCAGAGTACCCCAGGTGATTCTGACACTGGGGGGAATTGGAAGAATAACTCTTGCCATGGACTTTAAGAGACACAGGTAAAAATTGTCTTAAGCTCTGACTAGTTAGGAGTAATCCCTCAGTAAGACTGGTTACTTAGCTCCGCCAAACCTCCTCCACCTGCCACTCCCCTACTCTCTACTCCCACCTCCAGCCCCAGAATTTCTGAAAATAGATCCAGGACCCTCCACCTGTTCCCCAGCTGTTTACAGCTTCAGTACTCAAAGTGTGGCTTGTGAATCAGCACCACCTGAGAAGTTTCCAGAAATGCAGAGCCTCTGCCAGCCCCAGTCTTACTGAAACAGTGTCCGAAGTTTATCAAGACCTCTAAATGATTCATGTCCACCTTAAACATTGTCAGAGCACTGCTTTATTAGAAAGAGAATGAGTCCAGATGTTCTGAGGAATCGCAGCACCTGACCAATGTAGAAAGGGTGTGAGCTTTAGACCTAAGCCCTTTCTTTAGACCAGGCATTGATACCACGTTATCTCATTCCATATACTCAAGTGCATATGAGATAAGTGCTATTCCCACTACTTTTAGTTTACAAACGAAGCAATTAAATCACAGGGGGTTAAGGAACTTGTCAAAGGCCGCTTGAATATTCAACAGTAGAGCTAAGATTTGAACCATTAAGCCCAGAAGACATCCTGCTCTTGTTAGTGATGCAGAGCCATTTTAAGCGACTTAAGAGTCTCCAAAAGTGAGAGAAACTGCTGGGGCTGGACTGATGATACTGTGATTCACCTGGAGCTCTACACACTGGGGAGAATTTAAAGAAAGGGTATTTGAGAAAGTCGTATTCTCACGACATCCAACATCTTGGATGCCTGCTTATGTCACCGCTGACAAAGCATGTTCACAGACTTTCACCCTGGGCTACCAGCATGGAATGCAGATCAGATCTCTCTTGATGGTCTTACATAGCTGTAGCTTCTAACTGAATCCTACAGCTGCCATGTGAGACTGGGATTACCTCTATTGGGCAGATGAGGAAAAGAGAAGTTTAAGGGTGTTCTTCAGGTAACAGAAATAGTTTGTTACCCTGATGAAACTTGAATTTAGAACTCCCGAACCTAAGTCTAAGGCAATTTTCTCACTCGCCTCTTTGGGGAGACATACATGTTAGGGAAACTGAATGTCATAGCTTGCTCAGAGTGAAGGATTTCCTCAGGATGTGGGGCTTAAAGGAAAGTCCTGGGCAAAGCAGGGTGAGCCAGCCACCCTACTAGAAGCCGCCATGCTTATGGGAGATCCCTATTTTGCACCAAGTTGGAGTGCTGTTTTTACCAGTATGACAGCCAGCCCCCCATGCTGTGCCCCAGCACGCTTCCTGCTTTGCGCCCAGGGACATCATGGCCACAGGATGGGTCCCCTTCCGTGTGCACTGACTGCACAGAGCTTGCTGCAGTGTACGTGTGCTGTTGTGGTGTAGACCAGCGCTTCTGAATGGAAATCACCTGGGGATCTTGTTAAGCAGCAGACTTGACCCAGTGGGGCTGAGGGGAAGTTGGAGATTGTGTGTTTCAAAAGCTCTCTGAATGCTTGTGGCCTGGGGACCACACTCTGTAGAGGAAAGAGAATCCACTCTGGAAAAGAAAACAGGAGCCCAGAATCTTATGCAGCATGTAAAGTGGTTGAATCCAAATAAACTCTGAGACCTTTGTTTGGTGCCTCAGATGATCTGGATTCAAACCTGCCACCAAATAACTGGGCTACCTTTGGGGAATTATTTAATTTCTCCGAGACTCAGGTCACTTCTTATCAAGTCCAGTTGTTATTGCCAGAGCCTTACTGTGAAGAATAAAGATAAGGTCTCTTGAGGGCACAACGTATTCTTTAGTAAATACACAGTACCTTTATTCTCCACAGAAAGATGGTGACCATGAGTCATGATTGTCAGCACAACTGGGTAAGAGACACTGAGCAAGTTTCTCACACTCACTCCTGGGTGGATCTGGGTGGTCATGGAGGCCTGACCTTGGGGACTATATCTGGTCCCTGGTCCCTTCCTGTCTAGCACTGTTCCCCTGCTCTGCTTCCTGGCCATCATACTGTGAACAGCTCCACTCTGCCGTGCCCTTCTGCCAAGTTGGCTCCTTTGGAGCCAGCCAATCACAGACGGAATCAAACTGGGAGCCGAATCAACCATTTACTCCTCTAAATTGTGAGCATCAGCCATTTTCTGCCAGCAACAGGAAAGCTAACCAATTCAAAGACTATGATTGGTATCACTGTTAAAGTTTCCCTGGGTCAGAAAGGTGAAATAAATTTCTAAAATTCACAGGTTTGTAAGTTGGAAAAGCTGAAAGTATGACCTATTTCTCAGAAATATTGGCCTTGAAGCTTTGCTGACTCAGAGAAACAAATCTGTAAATGGCAGCATTTTCTGGTTTCCTGAATCCATTTATTCCCCTAGTATGGACTAGGCACGCATGCAATGTGCAGACACTAGAATGAACAAGACAGGCAATGTTCCTTCTCCAGAGCAGGGGGAGAGGACTCAGAAAGGGAGAACCAAGAAATGACTCTTGGTTCTTGTATTAGGGGTGCCCTGGCTGAAAACTCATGGCCTCGGACTACCTCACGGTCCAGCTACCTAACGTCGCAGTCAGCAGGCTGACTGTGGCTTTCACAGCAGGTCACAGGGATGAGGTAAGTGTAGTGCTTCAGGGACACGGAGAAGGGGCCACTTTCACAGAATGTGTTTCCTCGGGCCCAACTACACTGGGGCTGTATATGGGCCTGTCGTCTCCTGCTGGACCATGAGGCATGCTAGATGGGGTCGGAAAACGGGAGGTCAGTTGGAGGATGCTGACGAGAACCTCTAGGCAGGGAGGCAAAGCTGCCTGGGAACGCTGCATCCGTAAGAGTATGAGCCGAGATGCTCTACTGGTGAGTGCCGAATGATCACATTCATGCATCCCCGGTGGTGGATAAACTAACATCCAAAGGACCCATCCCTGCAGACCGGGAGGAATCACTACAAGCTCTGTGACCGACGGGAGCCTGGCAGTCCAGGAGAAGGCTCCAGCTGGTTTCCATACGTGCAAGGCGCTGGCCTGTGTGCATGCATGTGCACATTAGGGAGACACTCTTGGTAAACAAGAGGGCTCCAGTTCATCCTCTTTTTGAGGAGCGGCTCTCTCCCAGGGAGGGACATCCAACAGATGTCAGAGAAGAGTAGAACTCCAGGCAGTCTGAGGAAATGAGGTAGGTAGTCAGCCAGTTCATGAGGGAATTTAGATTATCAGAACACCTGATTAGAAGAGATTTTGTTCAGCTCTCCCTGCCAACTTTCTCAAAGATAAGGGTCAACTGTGAGGCCCTGCCCTGAAGCAGGAGGGAAGCCGGCAGTTGTGGACTCGCCTTGGCAGCAGCACCATCCGACCTAGTGGAATCTGAGTAAACAAGGGCCTGCACTGCCTTGGAGGCCCTGTCTGGGAACCACTAAGCACAGCGAGCCCTCAGCCCTGTCTCTTCCCGGGCTCCCTCCTGAAATGTGATGCTCGGTCGAGTTGGAAGGACAAAGGAACTGAGTAAGTGCAGTTTGCTCTCCAGGACTGTTTTCAGCCTTGTTCCAATTATACACATTTTCTTTTGGCTTTGACAGATCTGGGTTTATGAAGCTGTTCTTTTGGTCCTAATGAGCTGAACAAATGGGCCCCGAGTATTCCTTGAGGGATGTGTTACTGGCCGTTAGGAATTTGTTTATGACATTAGCATGGTCAAATGCGGGTAATTAAATAAGAAAGTAATACTGACTCCTGACTGCCCTGCTGTCTACCTCCCTGCTGTCTACTTCCAACAAGGCTTCATGCAGAATCCTTTCACCAAGGTATCAGAAGGCTGTCAGACAAACGGAGACAGAAATGGACAGGGGTGGAGTACTTTTCTTGGGATTTGCATGTTCTCACCTGCTGGGGAAAGAATAATGCAGGTAGAAAGGCAGAAGGGCTGCATTTTTCAGCTGTGGGCCACAAGCTAGAGGCCAGAGGACTGGGCCCCTGACCCACATCCGGGCTGAAAGCTTACCTGTTGGTGACCTTGCCTCTCTGTAAGTGACTTCCAGCCTCTAGGCCGAGTTAGGGGTCAGAGGCTGGTGTCTTCACCTTGCTCACTCCCCGGTGGGCCTTCTCCAGGCTCCAGGTCTCTGCTCCTTTCTCCCCAAGTCATCTCTCACTGATCTCACTCCTTCTTGTAGATGGACTCTGACACCTATGGCAGCGTCAGTGTCAGCAGCTTTGACCTCTCTGCAAAGATCCCATTTTATACAGCAGCAAGCTGATTGGACGCTTTGTGGGTGGATTTGTTTTTATATCATTTCCTTTTATCAAAGCTCACACAGGCCAAGCATCAGTCTTTAAATAAAGTCTGTATTGTGATTCTGTACATGGCATAAACAGGGTACCGACTTTGACCTCAAGTCTAGGGCCTTCAGCCATGCGAAGTAACAGTGACACTTCGGTGCACCAGGCACAGAAAGGAGAGGCCCGGGCAGCTGTAAAGACCAGAGGCAGTGGATGGGAAGGCCTTGCACACTACCTGGCAGCTCCAGACACTGAATAAATACAAGCATTTCTCTATTCCTGAGTTGCTCTTGGGATTTCTATGCTGCTGTTACTCTCAGGTTATCTTTTATATCAATTACACACATTTTTCAAATACAGAAGTATTTTAAAAGTTGACTGTGTATAAATACCCTGCACCTTAAGACTGTTTTCTTATTGAGTCCCACTATTAAGTTCTCATGGCAAGAATAATTTCAAGTTACCATAAAACTATAAAAATGCAGCAAAGATTTCTTCAACGGTAAAGAACATTAATACTTTTATGATTAAAAGGCTAGTATTGGCTTCTAAAAATTCATCTCCCATTAAAAAATATGGAAATTAAAAGTATTGAGTCCAGCTTGTGGAAATCAGGGGCCTTGGAAGGTTGCTTCTCCTCATTGAATCTGGCTAATTTTCTTATTGATTTAAGGTACTTTAGCAAAAGAGTTTATATCTAGCTTTTCTTTTAAAGCTTCTTCGTGTCTTTTAAAGTAACGGCCTCTGTTCTGAGATCACATTTACGCTGTGGGCAGCAAGTTATAACAAAAGAAAAAAATCTAGAGATCCTTGAGGAAGAAGGTCAAAGTCTCAAAATCCAGAGTCAGGTGCTCGTGGCTGGCAAGGTCTGGAGCAGACACCGGTGTGGTCAGTAAAATTCCTACTCTCTCGTGTCCTTCCTGAGCCCAGTGCTGGGAACAAGTGCCCATCCGAGTGCAGTGCTGTCTTTCTTACTGTTCTTGTCATTTTTCTTTTTTTTTTTTTTCTTACTGTTCTTGTCATTTTTCTTTTTTTTTTTTTTTCAGTTGTAGGGTTTTCATATTTGCAGAAGTCCAGTGCTTCATCTCTGATGCTGGGGTGAACTAAACATGCTTCTTGTGAGGTATCGTGCCTGCTGTGTATGTTGTGAAGTAATGGACTAAGAGGGGATAGATAAACTTTGAGCTCTCTCTATGGGAGGTAGAGAAATATACGTTACTCTCCTTTTAGGAATCTATGCAAGACCAGTTATATTTTCTGGCTACAGCAAAAATAACATCAGCCAAAAAGAAATGCATCCTTAAAAATTTGTGCTTGAAATCTCCTGTTTCCCTGTCTCTTATGAGCAACCAGACATTGTGAAAGTGATTCAGACATTAAAAATATGATCTGGGTTAACACCTTGGAAGGTCCTTTCCCACCTGGGACCTGTAATCGATTCTCTTCGCTCTGCTTCTTTCTTCCAACCGCGATGATGGCGTCCACGTTTCCATATCCTGGAACAGCACGGCCTCAGTGCCACAGCAAGGTGTGTGTGTGTGCATGTGTGTGCTTCTCTTACCAAGGAGAAAAATAACTACTTTTACATTCCTCTGAAAAACAGGCAGCTAAGAAACCAATTTCTCTTGGGGTCAGAACATTTAACACATTCAGCACAGGTCAACCTGGTCAGCACCCACACCCATGTGTCCAATATGAGAAGACCAGCATCAACAATTTCACTTAGCAATTAAAAACTGAAAATCTGGAGAGGCGGAAGTCGAAGACAAAGGTTACATGAGGATCCGAGTCTCCGGTCTTTGTGCTCCAAAACCTTCTCAGTGAGCGCATATTGAACTACATTGGATTTGTTGACAAAAATAATTTAGGGTCAAAGTCTCATGGGATGGTCCTGGTGGCAGGTGGGAGCCCAGAATGAGGCAGGCGTTCACCCCAATACAGAGGACAGTACCTGAGCGTCTCCTTGTTATTTATATTTTGTCCACAAGATGGTAGCGCTCACTTTTCCATCTGATGTAAAGCTGGCCCAGGAGCCTAATTTCCCGTAAAGTAGAGAACCCTTGGTGTTGAACGGAGGCCAGGCAGTCTGGACATCATTCAGCAATTTTTTTTATTGTGATGAATTGTCAATTTGAAGTGCATCTAGTCCTGCTTCGGCAAGGTGGGGATTCATCTGAGGCAGAGAAAACCCAGCAGTGCATTGCGTTCCAGCTTCTTAGCAGGGATTTGAGAAGCAGGAATACTTGGATATCTCAAAACCACACAGCAAGGATCAGATATTGATACTTTCCAAAACACTACCTTAGTACATCATGCAAAAGACATTCGGAGTGTCAAGTTCTATTAGTCTGGGGTGAAATTTTACACAGTAACAGAGCTCCTTCCTCGAAACTAGTTCCAGTGGGTGATAGGTGGTTTCCCTCGGATCCGGGGACGTCAGACCTCAGAAGTCAGGAAATTCCCACGGGCTGAAGGAGAGGGTGGAGACAGCAGTTGGGCTGCTCTGCTGTGTGCTGTGTGCCTCTCTCCCCACCCAGCCCCAGGCCAGGGGCGACAAGATACAGATGGGAAACACAGCTGGCCTCGTTGGCTTCATGGACCAAAGGGTCTCCTTTGAGGATCCAGGTCTCAGGCTCCCTTCGTCTGCTTTTTGAACTCTTTTTAAAATGAGAAGCTCAAGTGGGATTTCCTTTCATCTTACTATATTATTTTCAAATTAGATTAGGTCTCATGTCCTGTATCAGAACCACAAAAGCAAGGCTGCAGGGCACTGAACGACTTCCCATTCTGCTGCCAGAGCAGCGGAGGTCCCCACCTGGGCCCAGGAGAAGAGGCACATGAGCAGGAGCACAGGCCAGGAGTGGAGACAGCGGGAGGGGGCCCTGTGCCCCAGCTCCAGGGCTGCCTTTCCAGGCCTTTCCAGTGGCTTCCAGAAGGGAGTCAAGTTTTCTTGACCCTTGCATTCTGGCATGCATCTTCTGAGACACTTGCTCCTCCTCGCCTTTACTCTTGAGCCCTTTCTTTCATTCTTTCTGGTTCCTGAAACTTTAGCCAGAAACTCCAGAGCTGCGACTGACACAGTCACCCATGGAGCTTTCTCTAAGAAGCAGTGCACGTGTGGGTGTGGCCAGGTTTTTCCCCAGGACATGACAAAGTGCAGAGTTATGATTAAGAGAGAGAAAAAATATGCTTTAAGATGTAGTCACAAGCAACTGATTATGACTGGGTAACTCTCTTGCTTTCTGTGGCAATGGGGTAACTTCTTCCTAAGTCAGGGCTTTCATCATAGTCTGTGTAATTATACGACAAATTCAATGCAACCAGAGGGAGTATTCTGCTCTTCTTATTCCCGGTAGTGTGTTGTTTACTGTGTGTAACCCCTCACTTTATATGTGATGGGATAAATATTAGCAGGTGGAGTTTATTTTGAAAACACACTAGCTTGGAATGTCTGGAAACCCTGTGCTTGTCCCCCAGGAGGATAGTCAGGGTCCCTGAACACTAGGGTGATGCAGAGATGCTGCAGGAATACCTACAGGGAGGGAAACTGGAGAAGGGAAGGAAGCAAAGGGGGAGGGAGACAGGGAAGGAAGGGTCTCAGAGACCATCACAGGCTCCGTGAATGTTCTCAATTGCGTGTGTGTATGTATTTTTATTCTGAATAACAGTAAGGTTGTTTTTCTTCTAGAAATGTACAGTACTCTGTCTGCTTGTCATTTTAGATGGTGTTGGGTAAAAAAGCAACACAATTCCTCAGGGTAAAATCCAGTGCTTTGAAAAGCTCTGTAGTGTTTTGAAGGACTCCTCAGTCCTCATATTGATCCACCCATCAATCATTCTCTCTCTCCTTTCTCTTTATCTATCTATCATCTATCTATCTCTGTCTGGATTATAATATACATATTGTCTTATAACCTTCACTTAATTTATCGCAACCTCTTCCCAGGTGGTTCAGTAATTTTCCAGACTGTAATCTCGAGCAGCTGCCTGGCATTCCACTGCATAGAGCACCAGCTGGTTTTCTGACCTCCTGTCATGGTTGGGTATCATTTGACTGAAGCTATTTGAAGATGCAATGAATGATGTCCAAGACACTGTCATGTCCTTCCCCCGGATAAAAGACGATACAGGCTGGACCACATGTGTTGAGACAGAAGACCACCCCTGGATGGGGATGAAAGCCACTCCTTCAGACTCTGAGAATCTGAGCTCTCAGCTGCCTGAATGGACCTCCAGTCTGCAGAGCAGGACACAGCAGGAGGAAAAAGGCCAACCAACAGTATGACCATGAGCTGCTTGTCATTTGGCCTTCTGAAATTGTGGACTCTTTCCCACTGGAAATGGGGTATACTGGAAAGGACAGCATGTGCTTGGCTCCAGAGTCACCCAGGAAAGCATGCATCAGTGGACCTCCACTCACATGAAGATTTATGTGTGGATGGGGAACTGCCAGAGGCCCAGCCTTAAGAGTCGCAGACATTCTGTACATAACAACCTCATTCCTCTGTGTGGTGGCCCTGAAGAAAATGTTCTGTTCTTAATGAGCAGTGTCCCCAAGGGAGGAGTGCAGCCCAAGAAGCCCAGAAGATGGGCCGGCACCTGGACACTGTCACTCAGGCAATGTACTTGCAAGGTTCTTTGTGCTACTTGGAAGATAAAGCAGATTCTAAATTCTATTACCATTACTATTAGATGTCCTTTGTCTTAGTTCCTTGCTTCATTACTGAGACAAAATACCCAACACCCACAATTTAAGGATGGAGAGGTTTATTTTGGCTCTTGTTTCAGTCCATAGCCAGTTGTCTCCTGGCTGGGAAGGCATGGCAGAGGGCCTGGTGGAGGAAGGTGGCTCACAGCATGGCGGACAGGAAGCAGAGAGAGAAGGGAGGAGCTGGGGAGGGAGATGTAACTTTCCGCTTCCACCCACAGTGACCTCTTGTGACCAGGCCCCAGCTTCCAATAGCAAGTCGGTCCTAATGCCGTATAATCCAATCACCTTCCACAAGTCCTCCCCACGATCCCGTGAGGCTTTAGAGGGGTGTCTGGATATAAACACTCTCCTGTACTCTTTCATCCCAAATGTCTTTTTCAATAAAAATTTTTTTCTTCTCTAGTGCTTGAAGTGAGGTGAACAAAGAGGAAATCAATAAGCTCCCATCTGAGTAATGCCTCTCCCCACCCACCCTCACTCACTGGGCTGAGATGAGAAAGAGGAGCACTGTGGAAAAGTACAGTTGGCTGAAGACTGTGTGCTTCACCCAGGCGCAGAGAGGGCTGGTGGCAGTACCAAGAAGGCTGAGCCAGTATCTGCCTCCTCCATCACCCCACCTGTTAAATCTGAGCTCTAAAGAAACCTATGTGTGAAACACATAGATACCGGGTTTCTGCTTTCATGAACCTTGCAGTCTAGCAGGTGATATACATATTAAATTTTAAATAATTTC